TTCATGACAGCACTCTTCTTTCTCCAAATTTCTGAGCATTATCAGCTCATCCGGGCCTAAATAAAATTCTGTTTAGACACAACTGCTTCATAAGTTCTTCAATATATCGGCTGACATCGGCTCTCATCAACGTTGGGGACTGACTGAGAGAAACTAATGTTTGGTGTTGTTTTGTTATGATGAAACGCCATTGTGATGGCATATTTTTCACTCGGATATCTAAACACGGCTCGCTCATGGAAACACTAATCTTTGTCCTATTTTCTGAGTATCTTTAGTTCGTTTAGGCTTGGATAGAAGTCAATTTGAATAAGTCACAAATATCTAGTAAGTGCTTTAATATACTGGCTGACATCGACGCTCCTGAACAGTAAGAATTGATTGAGCTCTTTGGTATGACAGAAAAGGCCATAGGTTTGGTGTAGGACGATCGAGCATTTCAGAATTTGATGATATTGATTTCTTTTTTCAATTTTTCAAGTTTCTAATTCTTCAATCGCTTATGAATGTTTTTTCAACTGGTATAACACTTCTTACGTGACATTTCTTATGATGTTAATAACTGGAATGCTTGAAAAGTAGAATGGGAATTTCAGACTTAATGCACCTGTCGGATCTAAAAACTCTTGATAGTTTGAATTTATTTTCATCCCTCCGATGAATTTTTACTTATTTATTAACCATCACTTTGATGAAATGATTGCTTTTCTGTTCATCTCGAAGATAATTCCTCAAATGTTCATTGCATCTTCCTCCTTCATGAATAACTGAACTTGTTATTAGATTTCTTTTTTATCGCTGAAGAATGTTTCTTCATTGCTTTTCGTTTTTGCTTGCCTAATTTCATATTGTTTCTGCAGTGGCAAAAATGAGTTTCTAAAAATACTTGCTTTGTTCGAGAAAACTAATTTCTTTCACAACGCTGACGAATTTCCGGACCGGTTTTCCCTTTATTCCCGACATTATACGTCAGGAACAGAAGGAAAACCGGCCTGGCACAGTTATGCGTAGAAATTGCAAGTTTTTGTATCACGAAGGTGGGGAGGAGGGCTAATGGCGGCGTGCCAGATCATCAAAATGGGTAATGAAACACCCGAGCGTGAGAACTACTGCTCTAATGGATCTATCTTCTCGAATTTTGGTTGTCACCTCGAATATACTTCAAATCGAATTGATCCATCATGCATTCCAATTTTTTAGGAGGATATGTATTGGGCAATGAAATTATCGCTTTGCTGGGATGAACTACAACATTTTAATGAATGCTCGTTATCGAACTCATCGAATGCATCCTTTCGTAATAACTTTGTCGATGCAGTCACACATATGCAAAATGCTATCGGTGTTAAGGAGATTGGCCGGTAAGGATGAACGCTTCACATTTTTATGACTATCATTCTAAAAATCGTTCTTCGTTTTGACTTCTCTCATGCTATACCACAAGAATACCAGCCTAAGCATACATTTCAGAGTTCATCACGAAACGATTAGTTGTGCCGAACAAAGTACAATTTTTCTTGTTACCGTCCGCTTTGTGGACAATTGTCACTCCATACAGGTTAGGCATAGCCCATTTGTTACGGGAGAACGACGGTACGGTGTGAGACGCTAAATAAATGCTTCTTTCATTGCTGCTATGAACAAAAAACAGAGCAAGCAATTGTAAAAGATTATCACTCGGTCACATTCAAATGCCTGTCGTTATAGGGTTTCACAACACACTGGAATGCGATGAATAAAGTAGGCTGCAAAAGGAATGTTTGCACTGCGATGCAATCATTCAACACGCATCTGCTGCATATTTTAAACTTTGTCGAATCGTCACTAATTCCATTGCCTAAAGGTTTATATTTGAGCTACATGAAACTGCATTCTACTATTGATACAATACGGATTATTTTGCCTCGTAATGTGCCATCAATGTTGCCGTATGTGTTTATTCGGTTCGTTACAGATATGTACCTACACCCACACTGTCGTCTTTATTATTTTCATTGATTATTTCCGTTTACTTCTGGATTCGATGTGCATTCCAAATTCACTTCTGCAATGACTAATTCTGGAGTCAACTATCAGTAAATGACCTTTTTCCAAAGCGAAGCGATAAGAGCGCGCATAAAATACCTCGTAATTTTTGATTTCAAAAAACGTTTCGGCTAATACATTTCAACTACAGCTGTAACACGTCAGCTTATCACAAATCTCAAAAATTTTGCAACGGTTATTCGTACAAGAGGTTTTCGGTAATTTTCTGTTTCAGTTTATACTCTTCAACACTTCAGTTGAGACGAATATTCAAAAGATATTTGCTTTCAACTGAGAGATTCTCTTCTCAACGGTGCTTGCTTTTTTTTTCAGAAAAAATGGACATGTAACGAAAGAGGAATGGGACTGGTTGCGACTACTCGACATAAAATCCTCCAATAAACCATCGCCTACGCAACTTGATTTTGAAAGCAACATTATTGCAGCCGCAACTGTGCTTCTCCGTGATCTCAACATTGCGAGCGATCTCATACCTTTGCAAAGAATTTATCGATTTCAAGTTTTCGAGCTGAACTTTGGTGTTTCATTCATTCTGGTAAAGTTTATGCAGTTTTCTGAAACGACCTGAAGTTTACGATCTAACTGCGACATTGTACAAAATTAGTTTCAAGTCGATAAATGCGCTCAAAACAAGAATTCAATTGCAAGTGGCTGCATACACCTCTCGATTAATCAATCCATTGCGTCTTTTCTTATGAGCAACAACTTATTTTAACGGGCACAATGTAACGTGGATTGTTAAAATACACTTCTTAGGAAACAAACAATAACTTTTCGAAAATATTAGAAACTTTGCTTTTATCACTTCATGAAAAATAGGCGTTCGGAAAGGAACTGAAATGGTGTTTTGGTTCAGATGCTTCCGCAGAGTGAAGAAGTATGTTCGGCACCATCCCACTCTTGGGAAGTGATCAAAAACCATTATCAGGAACGAGAATATTTATCGGTGCCATTGCCAGTATTCGAGATGTGTAAGTGTTGATTATTCCAATTTATTGATCATGTATTGTATGAAAATGATTTTTCAACGCTCATTTGAGCATGGCACAGTCATGCAACTCACAAACAGCTTTTATCAATACTGCACAACCGCCACTTTACAGCAACGCTCTATGTACTTCTTGCAGTTCACCTTTCTACGTACAGCTTGAATCTCATCGCAACATACTGTCGACTCTCAGTGTTCCTCGAACATTTCATTACGGTGAGCACCAAACACCACTTATGAACGTTACGATAGTGTAACCCCGGCAAGTGAAATAACACACGCAATCGCTTCAAACATTCCAACCCACATTTATCATTTCCACTTGAAGTCAACTCTGTTTAAATCTATCCTTTAAATACATACAACTGAAACTGCCATGAGTACTTCCCATCCGACCAAAAATAATCAGTTTCTGATAAAGAGTGCACAAATTACGACCTAACTCTCGTGTACAAGACACATTCTTCCGAGTATCTTAATTTATATATACTTGAAAGGACTTAAGCAAGTTATCGATATTCAGGTTGTGCAATATAAGCAAAGAAACTGTTTGTTGCAAGGAGACACAAAGGTACTTGGACAGCTACTTCAGACGTTGTTCGAATTTCAACGCAGGTCTGTCAATCGCTCTACAATCTTACCCACATGAGCAGAAATTTTATGCGTTTTGAAGATACTTACGGCACTCTACACCAACAGCCCCCTTTCCTCCCCAAACAAATCTTAGATTGTATGCAAAATTTCGAAACTTCAACGCGCGTCACAGTGCTGTATCAAAATCCATTCGATGCGATTAAGACACAAAAATTGAAATAACTACAATCGTAAAATATCGCGAACAAATGGCCTCAAACCGAAATAAACGCCAATATAATAATATACTTTATACAGACTCGAAAACGTTTGGAAATCAGCACGCTGGATTGGCCGTATAGCATCAACTGCACGCGATAAACAATCCAAATGTGCTTTGCCACTGAGTAATCTATTGCACGCATTGAATACTCGCCAGCATCGTTACGACTCTACCGATGAAAATAATTATGAAAATGAACAGGTGGAGTGTTTTACTTCGCATAATAATGAGGCAGGCACCTATATCGTATTCTCAGTCCAAAATTTGTTTGAAGCAAATGTTTATGCCGTGCTAAACAAAAATGCATTGTGTTGTCATCACTGAGATATTGCAACATTCCAGATTTGTCAGAGTATGCTTGTTCGCATCAAAACCGCACTGATCATAAACACAATCATATTTGAACGGAGAATGCAGAAAAATATCAAATCACACTAATTCAGCATCTTTCCCCTCGAAAATGAGATAATTTTACGCAATGATGTTGATTTTTTCCACACGTTAATAAGAGAAAATTGATAATGTAAAACTGACCAGAAATATACACAACACGTAGTGACGTGTTACCGTATTCACCCTGTTAAGCAAGTAGCTCCCCGACTACTCGCACCATATACGGACAAACAAAAATATGCACTACTGAAAAAAAAAAACTTTTAAAGATGTTTTCAACTTTAGGGAACGAGCTCATCGAATACAAGTGATGCTGAAGCAAGAAATGCGACTTCAATAGTTCCGTCAGCCAGATATTTTGCTGGTGTTGACAAGGCGGCTACCATTTCAACGGATGTCATACGAATCTATACTGCTTATGAATGTGGATTCTCGAAAGGCACATCAATACGTGTCCAAATTGCTTCAACAACTACGTCACGTGAAGTAGTGGCATTAATCATCAGCAAATTCGCGAAAGCGGCTTCTTCAGTGAACATCGACGAGCAAACAGCAGCAGAAGGAGAAGTTGAATGTGATGAATATTGTCTGTCAGCGGTGGTCGGCTCACGAGAACGTCGTTTACGTGACGACTTTCC